TACGATCTCTCTCTCTCTCTCTCTCTCTCTCTCTCTCTCTCTCTCTCTTGCCACGTTCACCCTCATTTCCACGATCGTTTATTATATTCTAGTTGTGCAGCTTACCTCGTGCACGCTGCGCTCTGTCTACTATCCCGACACGAGTGGATTTACCCGTGACATCTGTTCGATCATTAATATTCATTAAGAGATACGTCGCGTGAACGAGCGTTCACGGCGTCGAGTTTATCCTTGTCGCGGATAAAGGGCTCGCGACGAGGGGAGGAAATGACTTCAATCTTCTTGACAATTTCGTGAATGAAGTTAGCACGTTTCACGGAATCGTGTATTTTCGTATATTTCCTCAACTGGAGTGGTAAAAATTCTTGGATGTTCTTCGGTCATTTCGGGAATATCGTATTTATCGTATTTTAGTATACTTTCGAGATTTTGAACCTTGCATTTGTTACAAATATTTTTTTTATCAAAGACGAAGAGCTGTATCAAAAAAAAAAAAAGAATAATTAATAATAAGATAAGAGAAAAAAGGATGAATCGCGATGAGCAAAATTTTCGTTTTAAATTTTCCACGCCACGATCGAAAAGGGTCACGATCAAAGGGTTAAATCCACGCGTGTGTTCATGCTACGCAAGAACTAACACATCACGTAAAAATCGCCCATTCTGCATAGTTTTTTCTCTTTTTTTCTTTCGTTTCTCATCTCGCAAAAAAAAAAAAATAATTCTCTTCCCCGAAATTCGACGAATCTCAACAACTCTCCTCGACCAAACGACGACGATACGCGAAAAGAGAAATACTCCACGTGAAAAACTCAATCATCATTTCCGGACAGAATTAAGATTAAAATTAATAATATGAAAAATGTAAGAAAAGAAAAAGGAAAAGAAAAAAAAAAAAACACATCAGCGAAACGTATCAACGATCGGCAATCAGCTCTGACTCCGATGTTCTCTTTGTTTACGTGTAAAAGCCGTGGAGGCGGTGGCTGCCACGGGAGTCATCCGAAAACAGGGCCAGTTGTCCTATGGTGACGAGAACAGGCCCAAAGAGTCGAGCTAAAAGAACGCTCGCACGCACGACGACGGTCGGGGCTTAGAACGACCGACGCTCTTCCACACTTCCTCCTCATCAAGGATGAGATTTTACGGCGATAGATCGGCCGACCAATTGTACAGTCTGTCGTCCATCCCCCTCCCCGATTCTCGATACGAGAGAGGGGATTAGGATGACGTTTGAGAGAATTAGAGACTGTGTTTATAGGGAAACCTCCTTAAATGAGGCCGCGTAGTAAGTACAGGCGGGGTTTGAGAGCCGGGGATCACACCCGGATCCCACACCCTGCCTCTCTTGTCCAAAGAGAAGGATTTGATTTTCCGATTAATCCATTGGTTATTACATTTCGTTACATTTCATTCTCACCTCGAATGTTCCTCATTTTTTCATTATTTTTTTCTTTTTTTATTTATTTTATTTTATTTTATTTTTCTCGTATCACACACCATTCTCTCGTTGAGACAATTTCTGTTGTTTGAATTGATTCCTCACGTTGTCGTTGCAAATATTCTAATTTTAACTAGAGAACTTTTTTTCTTTCTTTTTTTTTCTTTTTCAATTCTGTTGTTTGTTCGTTTTTATTTTCCACCCTTTTGTTTTTGGTTGTCTCGCAAAAACCCCCCTTCACCAACCCCTCTCACATAGAATTAGGGTTGACACATAGAATAGTCTAACGAGAAGCATTAACGAGATTTATGGGAATCGAGAGGATTATATACACTTTTGGATAGAATTACACACGTGATTACTTCGAAGAGGAATTTCTGAGCGTCATGGATGGATCTTCTTTTGGTCATTGGCTTGTTTTTATGCTCTCCCCTTGTTCTATTCTTTTTTTTTTCTTCTTCTTTTTTTTTTTCTATTCTTTTTTTTCTTTTTTTTCTTTCCCTCAACTCAACGTGTCGAAATTTTACCTTAAAAGAGCATTTTTTTCTTTTTTTCAGTCGAAGCAAGTCTGTGAAGGAGAACTTGCAAATCGAGGTTTTAACTCGTCCACATTGTCGATGCTCGCGCTCCAGCGCAATGATAATCCGTTCGAACGTCGGAGTCTTTGCAAACCGTGTCTTTTTTGCCCCTCTCGTTTTTCTTTTTTCGTTTTTATCCGATATCCCTCTTTTTTGCATAGCTAGTATTGCTTGCATGTACTGTGTGAGTGATATGTCGTCACGGTGTATCTAAGTATGACGCGTAGATGAATTAACAAATATACTTCACAAACTACTTGTGACAATTAGCTTAATTTCAAAATAACACTTGTCTTTTTTTTTTTGTGTGTGTGTAATCTAGCTTTCGAGTGACATTGATCGATATCGAACTCGACACCTGCGTTGCTTTTATTTTTTTCGTCGAGTTTGATTTCGAAAATTCGAAAGGAATATCGTTCCAATTTATATATATATACAACATCTTTTGAAATTTTTAAAATTCAATATTATCGAAGCAAAAGAAAAATTCACTTTCTTCCTATCCTTTCGAATTTTATCCGCTTAATAAAATAATAAAACCTTTATAACGTCAATACTTGAAAAATTCAATCGAACTCAATTTTTTTCACGATCACTTTCACGATTGACAAAATTCAAAATTGAACTTCTTTCCAAATGGTTCGAAAGTGGTATTGACAAACAAGGGTTAATTTTATTATCAGCTTAATTTCTGTAACTCTACGAGTAAATCCCTCCTCCCATGGATTTGAGAGGGATCCTTGATGAAAGTTACAAAAATTCAGGCTCCACGTAATTCGGGCTCCTTGCCTGAAACAATCTCGTAAAAAAAGAAAATTTAAAGAGTGGAATGATACGAAATAACGAAAATAAAATGCAGGGCACAGCGGTGGACACGTGAGCGAGGGGAGCCGGAAGTCGAGGCTGGAGAGGATGGATCGTGATCGGGGCGATCGTGGTGAACACGACTACGGGAACGAGGAGGAATCGTACGTCAGTGGCGTCGATTACGGGAGCGCATCTAGGCGTCGCCAGCAGCAAGACCCGCGCGCATTGAACGCCATTTAGGAGCTGGGGCCCCGGGGCCTGTCGCTACAGCGCTGTCCCCACCTGCGCACCACTGCTCTTTAGTGGGGTCGCCACCTGGTACGCTACTGAACGTACGAGAAACGTGCTTTTTACGCTACCGTAGCGAGGAAAACAAACGAAAAAAGAAAAAAAAAGAAAAAAAAAAATAATAATAATAATAACAACAATAATAATATATTTGCCGCTCTGGCCTGTTAGTGGGGTTTCTTTCCTGTCGCTGCCCGTTCAGATCGTTCAGACTTTGTTCGAATCGCTATTTGTACAATGGTAGTTAGAGAACCCTTCCTTGTTGTTCGTAATTGTTCCACGATTTCTTAGATATTATATCGCCCTTTTTCTTTCGTTTACTACCAATTGTGTATTTATTAGCGTGCGATCGTTGCACGTATGTTACTTTAATTACTACGCAGAATATCTCTTCTTTGTAATCAATTTTGTTATGCTCGTTCTGTTACGTTTCTCTCGATAATATCTCGAGATCTCGATGTAGATCTTATTATACGTACGTAACGATAGATAGATACACTGCATCGTTGAACGCCATTGATCGTTAACCGAGATTAAAGCGTGTACGCTGCCGTAGTGAGATTATCCGTATCGTATTTTATTACTATTTTATTACTATCCGTGAATATCGTGAATAGAAAAAGTCGGTAGAAGAAGTTCGTTCGAGTTTCGATCGTTCTTGCTTTCGTCCCTATTTTGTTTGGATTGTTGAGACAATGTTAGCGTGCACGCTTGCCGCCCCACTTGTTTTCTACCGGGTGTATCTTTTTTTCCACTGTTGCGATTTGTACACGGAGCTTTCTCTCTCCTGAAACGAGAATTAACGAATTAGCGTGATTTCTTTTTTTTTTTTTCTTAGTTCGAGTGATATGTACATGCAAGATACATGGCGTAACAGAGTAACGTATCTATAGCAGACACACATATACACACACACACACACACACACACACATGTAGATTCTATTTTCTTAATGGTATCTCATGGATTAAAAAAAAAAAAAAAAACAAAAAGAAAAGAAGCCTTGATTGATTTCATAATTAGAAAATCTCGTTTCTATGTTGTATACTCGTAGACACACCGTAGACACATCTTAGATTCTAGAAAGAGATCATTGTCGAGTAAAATGGCTTTATTCCGTTCCCCCTCGTTTTACAGAATTTTCTTTAGATCAGTTTGTGCAGAATTGTGAGTTGAGTGAAGAGAGAGAGAGAGAGAGAGGGAGAGAATGGTGATGGTGGATGACGCCAACGAAAACTTTCACGAGAAAATTTTTTCCAACAGGAATTCCGTAAAACGATGGGCGGGTTGATAATCGAATGTCCTTGTCGATGAAGGTACGCACAGGATAAATCCCCCATTCGCGGAGCCAGCTCAACGAGATGAGTATGTACACGAGAACCAAAACCAAAGAAAAATTATATACAGAATCAGAGAGAGATGTTGAAAGAGGTATTAAGAATTATATTACGTACGAGTGTGAGGGAAAAAACAAGAATGAGAGGAAAAAAGAGCCCTGGGGCCTTAATTTTTGCGCTGACTCCTCCTGGGCCCCTATACCCACCCCCACGAGAATCATAAGATTTTTTAAGATCGATGATTTATAGGAGAAACTCGTGAATCGGCATCGGGTCTTTGTTAAGAAAAAAAAGAAAAAAAAAAAAAAAACGCCACGAGATCTTAAAGCTCGAAGTTAATAGATAATAGACGATTAAAACGGGATGGAAAAGAAAAAAACGAGAGGGAAGAAAATCGAAAAAAAGAAAGAAAGAAAGAAAAGGATCATCGAGGAATTTTTCGCGTAGAATTATTTCGATTCGGAACAAAACGATGGTTGCTTCGATTTTAGGGAGAAATGGTGAGAAGGAATAAAAAAAATAATAAAGATCGAGAATCACTCTAGCCGATTACCTTAGGATCGATCGCATGATTAAATTCTTATTATATATAGAAATTTATTATATAGAAATTTCGTGGCGCGTTCGTCGCGAGATTCGAAAAAATTTCACGATTTCGCGTGATGAGAGAACAAAAAAGAGAGAGAAGAAAAAAAAAAGAAAAAAGTATACAGGAACGAATCGAATATAAAGATGCGTGGCGATGGGTTGGGAATCAGATAATCAATTATCGTGCACACGATTGAAAGTTTTCGATTTTCGATGGCGCGTTGATGATCGCCGCGCTAGGTTGACGTGTTTATACGTTTTATTAGAGTCTATTTGGTGAAATGAATACAGGTATACACATACACAGGTTACACATACACATACAGACATACACGTACATATAGGACGTACGATACATGGAAACACGGAGAAACACATTTTGTGTATATAGTATACATATATAAAAATAACGATATATATATAAAGAAAAATTATATATATACATATATATATATTGTATACGTATGTACGCAGTATGAACACTTCCACATTTGTCGCTCGACAAAAATTCCGATCGAGATTAACGAGTGAGAGAATGAAAAAGACGAGTGAAAGAGAAAATGAAAGAAATTGAAGAGTGAGAGAAGGTGAAAAAGTGAAGAAGCGAGAAAAATGATACTATACGATACCATAGAATCAATAGATATCGTGTAAATATTGTAAGAAACCTTTAAAAAGACGAGTCCTTTCCGTTTCCGATCTTTTCGTGAATGTGACAGTGTCTGATGGTTGAAAAATATTTGTCGGATTTCATCATTGTTTTTACGGATCTAAGACACTTCCGCTCCTCGTGATCAAGCGTGGACGCTTTTTGACTACGCACTACGAACTTGCTGCAACTAAAAATACGAGAAATATTTATTATATAATTGATTCGATACATATATTACACTTCATATACATACGCATACACGTACACGCGCGTACACATAGAAACACAATAATCATTGCACTAGCGCCCTCGTGCAGGATAATATTAGGATGAATTGACGAGTTACGAGTTATAGGTTGCATAATCTTTTTAAAAATTTTATAATTTTATGTCGATGTTGAACGACTTGAAATTTATAAGATTTTCCCCTTGAAATTTCCTCATGTTCAATTAGAGTTCAATTAATTCCGACAACTCTGATAATTTGTACATTTCTCACGCCGATAATACTTACTTTAATCGCGCAAGAAGGCCCGATTTTTACTCGAGTGCAATCGCGATAACACCGATCGTGTTCCGATCGTTCGTGTATATTGGATTTTTTTTTTTTAGAGGCACGCATCAACGTTGTTTCTTAAGTAGAACGAACGAGTTCTCGAGCACGCCGCTCTCTTTGCAAAAATAGCCTTGCGCACGGCCGATATAATTAAACGTCAAAAGTAAAAAAGACGAAAACAAAAAAAAAATAATAATAAAATAAAATAAAAAAAAATAAATAAAAAACACGAAACGTAACGTAATGAATTTTTCTAAAAAATAATTTTAGGAAATTTTAGCTACAAATTTTATGCATTATTAGAACTAGCGAATACGAAGCGTTTCTTTCTAGAAACGATTACGTTCCAATACTTTCAAGACACGAAATTGATGTGTGAAATTTTAGCCAAATTTAATTCACAACGATCGTTTTCACACCGTTTCCGCAACTGTATCTCGACCGATCGCTGGCACTGGTTTTTTTTTCCTTTGAGAACAGAATCAGAAGAGGGAAGAAAACGATCGGTAATAACGAAATTTTCGCATTTCACATGTTCGTTAGGCGAAAGATTCCCTCGAAACTCGAGCGTGGATCGCGATTCGATTATATCTTCCGCTTCCTTTCATCCTTTTATCTGCTAGCATCGTTTCATCGAAAAGTGAATTCGAATTCTTGTCAATCATATCGTTTGTTCGATGATCGAAGATCACAGTGATATCTTCGCGATATTGTTCGTTAAATTTTTTAATGGCATCAGAGCAATGAGATCAGACAAGTATTTCTTATTCTTCGCTTGATAACGGTGTTAAACGAATTTTTATTTTATTGGCGAGATAATATGCTGCTCTTTTGATAATTTTTTGCTTGTCGAAGGTCTTTTTGTAAAATGAGAAGAGAAGCCGAATAATGGAACGATCCGATTTTCCACGTTTTCGAGTTTCGCGAGGAACGATTTTATTCGAGTATTTTATTGGTTGCTCGAATTTATCAATCGCTGACTAATAAAATGTTTCTTGTTTGCCAGCGTTTGTAAATACTAGGTGAAATATATATATTTGCAAACCACTGGTGATGTCTATTTCGAGGATACTCGTGCTTCTACTTCGGCATAAGAGAGTCTATATTCCAAGTACAAAACGAGCGCCTGCATTTTCGTTATTCGAGATGCAAACGAATGCCGGATAGTAGCTGGAGTTTCTTTCGAACTATGTTTTCTCGTGTCGAGCCGAAACTGTTCGTATCAAAAACATGTTATTGTCGCACGTCTGCTCGATTATTTTAACAAAATTATCTGTTCCTGCGATTATAAATACGAATAGCGTTGCGACGCTTAGGCCAACCGATTTTTAAATCGTATAGCTATTGTATACTGTACTTTTTCTAGACGTCATCCGACGTAAATTAAAGCGATCGATAGAGGATGTGTAACGGTGTCTAGTTGACGCCTATAGCGAAATGGAAATTTTTTATAATATTTTCTAAGAGTCTCGATAGGCAAACGGATTATTAAAAAAACCCACGTCACGCAGATCTGAAATACGAAATACGACGTCTTACACGAGCCACATATACATAAACAATCCACGAATCATATTACGATTTCGAGATACCCTTGATATTTCTTCGACAAAACGATCCCCTTAATCGTTACTGACGCCGAGTATCCGTCGGTTCGTAATGATTTCTTTCGTTTATTAGGAATATTAGCGGCTTCCAGTCCGATCTTTCTTTTGGATGATATCGTTGGATTACTAGCGTATCTGCAACACGTCCATTAGCGCGTTAAATTAAGATGCAAAACGAGGGAAAAAAAAAATTAAATAAATTATAATATGAATCGTAACTCTATAGCTTTCGATCAGACAGCAATTCGAATTTACGTAAAATGAAAAAACAAAAAAAGTCTCTGTAGTGTTTCTCCGATTTAGGATTAAAAAAAGAAAAAAAAAAGAAGAAAAAAAAGAAAGAAAAACCTCGCACGCGAGAAGCTCGTTCGATACTCCTACAAAATCGTACGCTACTTCTTTTACTTTTTAGCAAGGAGAAAAAAAAAAGAAACATCTTCTCTTAAAAGAAAAGTTAAAAGAAAAAAAAAAGTATTAAGAAAAAAAAAAGGAAATAGACGAAAACAAGAAAAATTCGCAAAGAAAAGAAGAAAAAATGAAAAAAAAAAAGAAAATTCACCGGAAAATAATACGCGATGACACGCAGGAACGTTGAAAGTCCAATCGGGAACACAATCGAATTATATCTCTTGAAAGACTCGAACGAGAACATTACTACGAGTGTTTAATTATCGATGTTTAAGCTGTTTAACGATGAAACGGAAAGACGAGAGAGGGAAGACTGGAAGCGAGGGCGAGCCTTTCTTCAAGGGTAGTGAAAGGGTCGAAAGGGCGCAAGTACAATTCGTTCGATGTATAAAGAAAAAAAAGAAAAAAAAAATAAGGGCGCGAATTGATCTTTAAAAATTAATTAGAAGTGTGTTGTTGCGTTGGCTTGCACCGTGTGCACGTGAACGTGTTGTTGAAAAAAAAAAAAAAAAATAAAAAAAAATTACAGGCTGCTTTTTGCCGGCGTCGAGGCGAACGATTTTCGTGCGATCGATCGACGCCTTCCTCGAAGAATGCAACCCTCCCCCCCCCCCTAATTACGAATGGTTGGAAGGTCCAAGAAGAAGAGGAAGAAGAAAAAGAAGAAGAAGAAGAAGAAGAAGAAGAAGAAATAATAGAAGAATAAAAAACCGCGAGAATCGCGAAGCATCAACGAAGAAAGATCAATGCTTCACGATCAATATTTTCCTCGAAAATTTATTCTCTCTTTTTAAAACAGATCTTTTTTTCAGCAAAAGATCTTCCTCTTCGTGGATGCGGACCGTGCCTCGACGTGCTTTTAGAGATATCGCGAAACGCCTGTCCTTGTAAACGAGCCTTAAGGCTTTCGCAATAAAATATTGTTGGTTGCGTGGTTTCGAAAGTATATCCGTGTGTACAGTGAGAAAATACGAGAGGAGAGTAAGAGAGAAGAAATTATGATGCGATAGACGCCATTGTCGGTTCGACTCGATGATCGTGATTTTCGTCTCCGATTGTGCGTACAATTTTGATAAACATGCAAATTGAATACGAAAAAAGAAAAAAATCGACGCGAGTTATCGGCTTCTTCTTGCTGTTGCTGCTGTTGTTGCTACTGCTTTCCGTATTTGATTTATTCGAGTAGACATAACCTAAAAAAAAAAAAAATAATTAGTAAAAAAGAAAAGAGACGTAAAAGATTTGGTGTTTATCGTCGATCACACATTTTAGAACGTTTTAGAATTAGCTGACGAGTTGTTATAGAGACAAATATAAGAATTGCATGTGATTTAAATATTGTTAAAAATAAGAAAAAGAAAAAAAAATGCAGCTAAATATTCGTCGATTTGCGATCAGTTTGGAGAATTTCTTTTTATTAGTTTTTTTTTTTTTTTCTTACGATTAATACTTGATGAATAAAAAGTAAGAAATGGCGTCGATACGATCAAATGGCAACTTCTAAGCCACTTTTTCTCGTGCCGTCTCGTATAATACGATCGTCGATTCGAATCAACCAGCGTCACACCGAGGACGATCGTCCTGTTGTGCGAGTACATGAATTCTAACGTGTTCAATTTCGACGCTTTCACGCGTATCTATCCCACGTGGCGTGTACATGTATCCCCAAAAAGAAAAAAAAAAAAATGGGAAACGTAGCGCACCCACGCCCTCAGTCACTTTTATTTTCTTTTGCGGCTGGTTCGTTGGATCAAAGGTTTTTCCCTGTGTATATTGTCTATTATTCCCCCGCGCGATTGATTTCGATTGCGGACAAACGAACGAAGGAAGGAAAGAGATGTAAGAAAGTCGAGAAAGAGAGAGAGAGAGAGAGAGAGAGATGAGAGGAGAATTTTATTTCGTTGTTGTCGCGGAGGAATCAGCGTGTAGAGTAAAGAGAGGAGGGAGAATAATTATTATTCAGAAGGAATAAATTGATTTTGCTTCGCTGTTTACAAACGAATTGAACGATTCGTTTAATCGTATCGTAAGTGTGACGAATGAGATGAAAAAGTGGAGAAAGTGTGTATATGCCTGTATGCGTTTGTGTGAACGAAATTTTTGAGAGAAAGAGAAAGACGGGTGATGCAAAGATGAAGAGAAGAGAAGATTACGGTTCAGCGTGCGCGAAAATGCGATTGTTCGACGAGATGGTTTTGAGGCGATTAATTATCGAGATGTTGTAAATTGTTCTATAGCAAAAATGAAAAAGTGCTACGGCCGTGGCAGCGCGCCCTTCGAGAATTCTTCGACGATTCAAATTCTCCGTCCATTTTGACCGGGACGCGAGGGAGCTTCGAAATTATTATTATTTGGAAACAACGAGTTGGGGATTCGATTCGATCGATGGATCGGGATTAATTTCATCTTCGATGAATCTCAAGAGGCGCGATGCTTTGATCGTTTCGATGTTAATATGTCAATGCTGTGATGTTATCCTTTGAAACTTCAAAACGAAAAAAAAAAAAAAAAGTAATATTCCCCGTTCCCTATTTGTCCCTATCACTCCTGAGAAATTCCCTTCGACACGGCCCCCTTATCCAAATTTTTCCAGAAAGTATCGCGCAAGAAGAATCCTTTCTCCTCGGAAAATGAATATTTCTATTATTGTAACACTCCGCATAGTCCTGAAAAGAAAAAAAGAAAAAAAAATAGCTAGATTCTAATCGTATTTAATGTAAAGTTTATTATTGTTACATCTCAGTGATTCTCTCCTCTATCAGTGATCTCACGGAGAGAACGAAAATGGGAGAAGAGAACGCGTGTTCAAATTACCAAGGAAGAAATTAAGATTTCATAAGGGAAGACACAAAGGAGGTGTACTGTTAAGGATTATACTGAGAATATATAGCGATCGATAATCGACCAACCCGTTACACGTTCGTTTCTCTCCGACACGTCACTGGTAACCAAAATTCCTACATTTGTCGCATTTGTAAATAAAATTTTTATCATCACACGATGCAACGTATTTTCATTTTCATTTTTGAACGAGATCAGACAAGCGAAATATTTATATTTGAAATTTTACTTATTGATCATCGTTATCATGTCATTCTTCGTTAGTGCATGGATAATCTAAAAATTTCATTAGTCTTCTTCTTCCTCTTCAAATATCAATTCCTCTTCCATCTTTTCTTTCATCAATTCTTTTTTTCTTCTATTTTCTAATGCCATCCTTCTTTTTCTTCTCCTTTCAATATTTATTGTTTATTCGTTTTGAATTCGATTTTTTTCTGCTCTATACAAATAACAATTAATTAGTTTATTCATTGTTCCTAAATAGGATGTAATTTGATATAATTTTTTCTTTTTTTTAAATTACTTACTATATTCAACAAATTTTTTCGACACATTTATTTTGAATTTATTTCCATATTCCATCATCATATTAGTTTATGCTCCTTTATGATTGGTTTTTCGTTAATAATTTGTTAACAAAATCCTAAATTTTTGTAAAGGAAAGTTGTTTAAAATTATTTCAAGTATATTCATAATATTCTCATATTTTGGGGATAAATTCTCACTTTGTATATTTATTATTATTATTATTATTATAGTTTTATAAGATTATAAGGAAACATGCAGATTGTAGGTAGGTGAATTAAAATATCGATCAAAATTTAGACACGTAAAACGATATTTTCTTAGGTGAATTATAAACGACGATACAAAATGAATATTTACACTCTATTTGTTATTCAAAATAATACAAATTATTCATTGTACTCGTTACGCTGTTAAGTCCTACTTGCACAATTTCTACAATTTCTATGCGACTCGTGATAATTTTTAATTTCAATACGTGCAAGTGACAAAGAAGATAACTTATATTCGTTTTGTCGTACGATTAAACGTATTGTTTTTATTTTTCATTCCATAACGATTCTTTGGCAATCAGTGCAACATTGACGAAACGTAATAGTAAAAGAGAACTTTTCTATTTACAATGAATTATATATAAAAAAAAAAAAAATAACGCATCAATAATATGTAGCGTCTTTAAATGCCAACTAAATGAATACGATAATTTCGCACAGGAACGACGTATACATACAGAATTAAAATATAGAATTATATCAACATTTACATTTGCGACTGGCTAGTGTAATTATTAAAATTGTTGTAACACGTCGTTTATTGGATGTATTTACACGAATATATTCGAACCCTGTTCGATCGTATTGCACGACGAAATTTACAGCACAGGATTCTATTATAAAATAACTTAAAATTTCAGGCTCGTTCTCTTAGACACTACACGATTGTTATAAATAAATAATAGAGGTTGCATTCTGCAACGCTCTTGGATAAAATATAATTTTCGACATATAAATATGAGATGTTAAACTCTATTTTATACCATACAATTGTATAAATTTTATACAAATTTTCTTCGTAAAATATTCTCATGGTACAATTCTCATGGTAAAATTCAAATTCGATAATTTTCTTAGATAAGTCTCAAAGACTTATACGTTATATTTTTTTTTTCTCTTAATCAATTTTTAGCGTATCTTTCTAACGCAACACATTTATACAATATAAAGATGAATATACTATTTATCTAACATTTCGTACGTCTACCTTTGGTACAATTGTTTCTCGCTATTGACTATAATTGTAAATTCTCTTTGTTCCGTTTTATCGACGCGAAAAGCTGAGACACGAACCGTGTTCCATCTACCACTTATCATCATATCGAACTACTCAAATCTAAAGAATTCGTGCAATCTTAAATATGCTCCTTTGCAAAGAAGAAATTCATTAATTCTACTTCAAAAAATCATTCCAAATTCTGCTTATAACGAAGCTTTCTTTCACTGCTCAATCAAACTGTTTAAATACTGTTCAATACGATTTAAAAGCTGCAACAAACTATCAGCGCATTTGGAACAGCTGCAACTCAATCCATTTCGCGTCTTGTAATCTTCTTCAATCTATAATTCAAATATACACGAAATAAAATTGTAAAATTAAAATATTTATATGAACAAATAATTTTCATAGTCCGCATACGAGGTCGCCGTAATGTGTTTCGACGAGATTGGCGTTGATGGAACACTTTGAGGCAATTGTTGCAACCGTGGGATTTGCAACTGCGGAAGTTGCGTCGCATGGGGCACCACGATTCTTGGCTGCTGATTCAAAGAGCCTAAAGATAGATGCTGATCGATCTTATGGATATTGTTATTATTGATCGAACTTGTATCTTTGCGCTGATACAACGCTAAATGGTTGTTGTTGTCATTCCCTTGGTTGTAATGAGTCTGATGGGTGCCGTGTAGGTTCAGTCTTGACATCGCCATGCTGATGCTCGAGTCTGACGCCCACATACTCTGCAAACAAGACGATTGCGTAACAAATTTGACTTTCTATTATATTCTTATGAATAATGCCAATAGTTGACGCATTGCTTCGAGATGCGCCTGTACTCGTAATTATATTCGGCCATCTTGGAGTACATCCAAGATGTGGAATTCTTTTGTGTTGAAGCGTGAGAATGCGCATAATATACACACATATATATATATATACATGCGTTTGCATAGAAATCGTGTTTTAATCAGTTTGAATCTTTTTGTTTTACGAGTACATTTATTGAAAATTTATCGAACAATTGTCGATTAGCAGGATCGAAAAGCACGATCAATGCAATTTACTTACTTTTCTTCTATGAGGATTGTAGTCTGGATTGCGTCTTATGCGAAGATGACGATCGGCGCTTGACCATCGTTGCGTGACTTTAAGGGGTGAATCGTCAGGATGCAACTTCCTTTGATACTCTTCACCTTCGCAGACCTCGTAAAGGGAGAATTGCTCGACGCGTTCTTTAGAACTGTAGCAACTCAATAACATCTGGATCAATTCATCGACCGTGGTCTGCTCGGACACCAGCAGACTTTTGTATTTCGACTGCGAACAAAATGGAAATATATGAATAAAAGAGAATAAACATAGCTAGAATGAACGTAAATGAATTAGTAGACGAGCTTTACGTAGGGAAACGTGAAAAATTGTTATAAAGCGTGTGTGAGTAACTTACTCCGGACATGAGCGCGCTGTCGTATATTTTGACAAGTCCTCCGCGGCGGGTCTGCAACGAGAATCTGCAACAAGAAAACATCCCATGGATCATCGCAGAAGCCGGTGAGGTTCAAAAGGGATCGACGAACGCTACTTCTGCGTAAAAACACAAGGGCCCAACCAACGTTCCAGTCAAACACTGTCTGCCTATGTAACGTATACCTTCGCCGGAAGTTTCGAACTACCGAGAAAACATTGGTGACTTCCAGTCTTTCTTCTGCCGCGCGACGAAACCTTCGATAACCAAACGTCTCATCTCCCTTCGATTTACAAACATTTGTCCAAAATTAAGAAAATCTTCCCTGACGAGAAAACTTGATTTGTTTTCCATTCCATCCTCCTGCTTTCGATTAAAAGAAAAAAAAAAAAAAAGAAACTACATCCTTTCTGCAAGATCGAATTGTTTCTAAACAATCTCTTTCCATTCTGGAAATCTGAAGAGAGAGAGAGAGAAAAGCGAGGCGCTTCGAATTAAAAATCTTAAACGAATGACACACGTGTCCCTTCTTCTCATTCTCGTTAGCATAAATAAAGGCACGTCTGATGCGCGGTCAAGCAGAGACAACTGCAGAGAGACCAAGAACAAAGGGAATCTCTTCTCTCTCTCTCTCTCTCTCTCTCGAAAGGACGTTGCTCGTCGTTGGCTCGTGCTCATCGACCCACAAGAAGTCATGTTTACGGTCCGTCGCAAGCCCTGAAATTACGTCACGAAGCCGAGCGAAACCGAGGGAAAGGAGAGCCCTAGGAAAGAAGAACGAATATGGAGAGGATCGTACCTGGAATCGCCACGAGGATGACACGATTGAAGAACGGCCGGCCTCGCGTCCTCGTCCAGTGGAAGCACGGTCCTCACGTTCGGTCTCCTCACGGTCACCTCCATGGTGAGGTAGAACAGTCTCGGGTCACGGTGCCTCATTCGGTATTTGTTCAATAGGTTCTGGACGATTTCACGGCAAGTCGTTTCATACGTGATGCTCAGGGTCTTGTACTCGATGTCTGGCCGAAGGCAGTTGGCGTACACCTTTATGGTTGTCTGCAAGATCGCGAAATTTTCGTTAGAAATAATATTTTTCATCAAGATTTTCAAGGATTTATTCGGATAGTAGGAGCAATATTTTGAAGTATTGTTATGAAAGGCTTGAGAGGCTTCGAGGATTAAGGTTCAGACAGTCGGAGGGGATTATTCTAAGAAAGGAAACGAGGTTTTAAAACGAACGCTCTGTTGTCGAAAGGAGGAGCCAATAAAAAAGAAAAAGGAAAGGAAAAAAAAAATGGTAAAAACCCGACACGACAAGAAGCTTGACAATTAGTCCATAATTAACCCGGAGACAGACGTTGGCCACGCGCGGTGCATAAAACGCTATCAACCCTTCAGATACGCCGGCTACGAGGGGATGCGTGCACCGAAAATAAACCAGACACCAGATCACCCCGTTCGCAGATGGTTAAATGCTCGTCCTTGTGTGTATTCATATGTCAAGATTAAAGCCCCGTTTACGCAGCGGTAGCCTATAATAATATTAAATACAGAGGGGAGGGTTGAAGAAAATTGATATTGTGGACCCAGAGCAAAATTTCACGATCGTTTTCAAGGTTTCCAATTTTTTAAAATTAAATCTTCGACTTTGCGATCGCAAACGATTCGATTAATCCTCATATGCGAAACAGGGAATCGGGATCGACGATTAGCAACAGGCTAATTATAAGCATAAGAAAATGCAATCTATCAATAGGCCAGATGTTGGCGGTCCAAGGCTTGGCCCACACGTTCGCAAGTGCCACTCCATGTTTCGAAAACACGTGTAGGCAGATTTTATGACCACGAGCCGCGCTTTTATCCCCAACTGTAACAATCTCCTGGCCAAATGCGGCGAATCGTGCCCGTGATAAAAGTTGCCGCTGCTCGAATCACGGCTACGTGTCAACGCACAATGATTTCACCTATCGGTGTACCGAGCGAAATCATGTGAAATGAATGATCGAGCTCGTTTGGATTTTCGCTAAGCCACGGCCACGCTTTGCAAGCACGTTTTCAAAGAGGATACTAGAGAGATTATCCTTTTATCGTGTACACTTCGTAACAGTTCAATATCATCCTTTTACGCATCGGCCCCATTTCGCTATTTGCTTTCTGGATAGATTGAAAATGGATAGATTACACTTACAAGGCGTCTGAACCGAATTTAAGGATCGCTCGTGTTCCATCAAATATTTATCTGCAATGAATTAGATATATTGTAATTAAATATATACAAGTTCATTCGATGTAATGTAATTTCTAAATCTAATTTGATTTATCTAATATGATTTGCGTAGATAATATTAAATAATCATAGATAAAAAGAGAGAGAGAGAGAGAGAGAGAGAGAGAATAGAAA